CTTTGGACACGATGGGTTGCTCGCGAAGATGCAGCGTGCTCGCCGAGTCTATGCAAGACAGTCACTTTATGATCGGACGTAACGACGTACGTTGGACATGCGTTGTTTTGTGCTCGTGTCATATTATGTTCTATAGTTATTTTCAAAAGGACGAAATTTTTCAGGCTATCTATTGTTACACGCCAGACGGCAGAGGCCCATGCTACGCAGTAGAGGGTCAAAAGATAATGCTAGAATGGTTCAGGACGTATTTGGTGATAGTGGCGAAAGAAGCAGCGAATTCAAGAACAACTGCAACTATATCCGCCAAACCCAAGTAATGAATACATGCATATGTGTTTTTTCCTTGTAATTCTTTTATATTTATAATATAACATATCAAATTTTCGTAGCACGATAGAACCCATACCTCCTGGTGTCGATAAGCACATTATCACTGTGCTTGATATTCAAAACAAGTTTATTGTGTTCTCTGCGCCGATGGTGTCTGTCCAAGCAGTTTTGTCCGAGTGGGGTGGATTTTTTATACTTAGTGGAGACAACAAGCTGTATCATTTAGATGAGAAAGACTTACAATCTAAATTGGCGTTGCTCTTTAAGAAGAATTTGTATGATGTTTCTATAAGGTATATATCAATTAAATTATTATTAAATCGGAACATTAAGACTATTAGCTTTTAACAATGTAACCTTATGTTATCATAGAATAGCTAAAAATCAGCAGTATGATGCCGAAGGTCTCATAGATATTTTCCGTCAATACGGAGATCATTTGTATTCCAAGGGGGATCATAATGGCGCTATAGAGCAATATATAAAGACTATAGGCAAATTGGAGCCGTCTTACGTGATAAGAAAATTCTTGGATTCCCAACATATCGATAATTTGACGACGTACTTGCAAGCGTTGCATAAAAATGGACAGGCAACAGAGGATCATACTACCTTGTTATTAAATTGTTACACTAAGCTTAACCATACTGATAAGTTAAAAGAGTTTATTATGGTAAGTTGGATATGTTTGAGAAAACTAAATATTTGTTAATATATATATGATATATATTATATTACATTATGTAATTTAGACAAAAGATCGTGAGGTTGATTTTGACGTGGAAATAGCGATAAAAGTGTGCCGCCAAGCATCGCCGGAGGATGCACTGTTACTTGCACAGAAACATGGTAAACACGAGTGGTATCTTCGTATTCAAATCGAAGATAAACAGGAATACAAAAAGGCCTTGGAATACATGGCAACGTTAGAATTCGAAGAGGTATTACACACACACACACACACACACACACACATATATATATATATATATATATATATATATAAAATATATATATATATATACACATAAATTTCTACAAATAATAATTAGATATCCATATTAAAAAAATATTTTAAAAATATTACAGGCGGAAGCTAATATGAAGAAATATGGAAATATCTTGATAGAAAATGTGCCAAATGAGTCCACACAGTTTTTGAAAACCTTGTGCACGAATTATAAACCTTCCAACAAACCTCTTGTAGATCAGGTATGCGCATATGTTTCTGACATTCTTCTATTCGTTTCGACCAAATTATATGAGAAAAAATTAAAAACTGGAAATATTTTATGAATTTATTTATCTTTGCAGGAAGCTTTAAATGGATATACAGAACAGCGTGTCGATAAAGCTAGTCCAGAAGACTTTATTCACTTATTTCTAAATAATTCTGAACGACTTGTAGAGTTCTTGGAGCATTTAGTTAAATCAGATACAAGGTTATTACTTTTCATGGAAAAAAGATACTTTTTTTATATCAAAATTGTTAAAATTAACTCTTTTTCATATTTTTTGTAGATGGAGTACGCTTATTTATAATACATTAGTGGAACATTATTTACATGTTTGGTCGGCATTAGATAATGATGTGGCTAAACTACAATATGAACAGAAAATTGTACGACTTCTGCAAAATTCCGAGGCTCGTTATGATAAAGACCAAATATTAATTCTTTGTCATCAACATAATTTCAGAAAAGGATTACTTTTCCTTTACGAAGAGAGCAAGCTGTGAGTAATCATACGAATGATAGTATAATATGAACGTGTGAAATGCACTCAAATGTAAATGTATTTTTATTATCTTAGATATCAAGAAATATTGAGATTTCATTTATGCGAGGGAGACAGCGAGCAAGTTCTTGCCACCTGCAAAAGATTTGGTCATCAGGATCCTAATCTGTGGGTACAAGCTTTGTGGAGCGTAGCTAAGAACAAGGATGCACCAACGAAACTTCTCGCGGATATATTAGCTTACATCGGTGAATATATTTACGGAATATCAATCATGTTCAATTAAATTGCATTGGAAAGTATTGTTTTGTTAATGCAAAATATCGTTGCAGCTCAAGAAAGACTGTTATCCCCTTTGATGGTCATTGACGCAATTTCTACATCGTTGACCTGCACGTTGGGAGACGTTAGAAGTTATTTGTGCAGTGTATTGCGAACGGAAACCGAGCAAACTCAAGCTGACACGGAGTTAACGGAGAAATATAGAGCCGATACTCTTAAATTACGGGAACAAATAGAAGCAATAAAGAACAATACGATAATCTTTCAAGGGTCGCGATGTAGCGCGTGCCATCATCAGTTGGAATTGCCATCTGTGCATTTCATGTGTCAACATTCGTATCATCAACAGTGAGTTTTCAAAAATATTACATTTTTATTATAGGTTATGACTTCACTATTGCAATCTATTTTATTTTCGTACGTTTTTCTCGGTAGTTGCTTTCAGAGCTTTTCGGAAAATGAAAACGAATGTCCGGCCTGCTTGCCAAACAACAAGAAATTACTGGATATCATAAGAGCGCAAGAGCAGTCAAGGGACCTGCATGAAACTTTCCACAGTCTTCTCGATCGAGCAGAAGATCCATTTTCTTTAGTAGCCGATTATTTTGGTAGAGGCGTTTTTAAGAAATTAACAGTAATTACTGATACAGACAAATCATTACCTACACCGACTAAGTTGGAGGAACCTAAGTTAAATTACGGGCCAGGTGCAGAGGCGAGACTCAGGTTAAATGAAGGAAAGAGTTCTACCTCAGGTACGTTTCAACGTCACACCTGTTGTACTATGTATGTATTAGTTTGTTCGCAGCACATTTCATTTCATACTTACAATACTTCAATACTTCAAACGATTAATCGATTTCGCGTTCTTCCTTCAACAGGAAAAACAGAGCCTCGACGAGCTGGATATGACGTTCCTACTTTAGTAACGGAAGAGCGTTTCCGGAATTTTGTCAAGCCTGACGTGTATTCTTCATCGTTGGAGGCGAATATATCGGGAACGGGAAGCGGTTTATCGACGCCACGCGGTAAAGCCTCGCCGGTGCCGATCAGAGAAGCCCGCATTTTAAATAGCACTACACCAAAGTTATCGCCGATCGAAAAGTCCTTTGAGAAAAATTCAAAAGCCCCTATTGTGCCATCGAATCCCTTTGAGACTGACGATTATGACGAATCTAAAAATCCCTTCGCCAACGACGGCGATGACGACGACGACGCGAATAATCCTTTTAAAGATGACGATGACAATGATAACGATCGGGCTGGCAACGACGACGACGATTACAACAGAAATCTGTTCATCTAAATCCATTCGGTAGATAAGCCGCGAATACGTTTTTCGTGAAAGAGTCAAGACAAGATACATATAGGTATATGTATACATTGCGATACGTAAAAAGAAAGAAAATATCGTCAAACGTATGCTTCAATAAGCATTAATGAATTTCCGAATCTAATGTACTGTGTATAAACTTGTGTAAACTTGTATAGTATCTACTTCAATTTTATATGCTGTAAAAGAGCATCATACTTCCTTCACTTCCACAAATCGAAGACTTTATATGCTGTGCAGATTCTAAATACAGCTTAATATCTACCTGTAAAAAGGAGCATAGCGTTATTTAAAATACTATGCTTTTTGTATCTTTGTGTAGATGAAACACGATATTAAAATTTTTAAATGCTTATATTTGAGGCAAAGAGGATTGAAGGATCGTAAAATAAAAAGCAATCGATCAATGAAGAAAAAATGTATATCAACGCCTTTGTGATGAGACTGTGATTTGAAAAGGAATCGAGTAAAAAATTTTTGATAAAATCAATTGCAGATTGTGGTTGATTCAAAATTTATTATTTCACCGCTCTGCGTCTTCGCATTAATTGCTTTCGTGATTGTAATCTTTAAAAAGAAAGCAAGTTAAATTCGAGCAAAACGAACATTATTGTAATAATTATGCCTTTGTGTGCTGCATCTGTTTGCTTGAATCGAACAGCACGTGTAAATGTATCGAAAAAGGTACGAATTATAGGATTGTACAATTATAATATATTAGAAATAAGGAAATAAAAATAATCTGAATCCTGTTGTACATGAATTCTGTTATACATAATTATTTGATTTTGTATAATCTATTTTTAATCAATTTACTTGTCAGGTAAGATTTTTTTAAAGTAAATAAAATAAAGTAAATATAAATTATGTAGATGCTTTTTGCTATATCGAATTTCTAAACTGTCAAACTGAAAATTTCTCTATTCGAGAATCAAATTTATTCATTCAATAGAGTAGAGCACAAATTACCAAAAATAATTTATTATAATTTCGTTATATAAATAAAAGATATTATTTTATATTATATTCAAATATTGAATCGAGATTAAAAATTCAGAGTTCTCGATCACAATCACGACCGAAATTCCGCAAATTTATGCATTTGCATTTTATAATATAATCACTTACTGAGTGGCTAAATATAAGCAATTGAATGTAATTAGATCCGAAGGTAGGAATCAATTACATCCGACAATTTCTTAGCGAGCGGCTGTGACATTGGATATACTCATTGGCGCGTCGAATGCGTCATCGTCGCCTATCGCTCACTTCCCTCCCGTGGTGGTAGCACTGGCGGCGAGAGCTGACGTCATTGTTGAGCTCCGAAATTGAAATCAATAAGTGCAATGTGCAATGTTGTGTGTACATCACGGACGGTGGGAAATGGCGATTATGTCAAAACATCGTGCTAAAACCGATCGCGTTTGACTCGGAATCGGCGACGCGAGTGTCCAATCGGCGAGATGGCTCGCAGCAGCAAGAAGAAACTCGCGATATTCGTGGGTACATCGAAGTGTCTCGTTTACGTAAGTCGCCTGGTCCTCCGCGAGCGAGCGACGCTCGCGTCTACTCGCAGTTTTTCCCTTTTACAACTCGAAATTATTGCACACCCGCGGACGCGGGAATTGCTGACTTACATTCCGGAAACGATTCGCAGGAGCAATCTTACAGCTAATTTGCTCAATTGTATTTGATTTCATAATCTTTGAATATAGAATCAAATAATGGAGCATCATAATGCTCCAAGTATAAAAAGTCAGTACGGGATTTTGTTACGATATTTGATGAAATTGATTAAATTTTGGTTAGATTTTGTTAGAATAGTACGAGAACGTTTGCTTTTACGAATCCCTAGCCGTGATATCGCAATTTTTTTTTTTTCAGGCAGAAGCAAAGTACTGTGCCTCTGATATGCCTGGAGAAATAAAATACTACGAGTATGTTGTCTCTTTTAATTATATATATTAACTAATTTTATTCAATTACATTTGATTTGTAAAAAAATTACTTATGTTTAAAGAATCATTTATTTTATATATTGTTTTTTATTATATATTGCGCACGAAAAATTAATTTCGCGCCGATTATAACATTCGTAGATGTTCAAGAACGGAGTATTGTTGTGCTTTCGGTTGTTGTGTGTCACCCGGATTTCATTTCCATCACTTGTGGTACTATTGGTAAGTAGTTTTAATATATACCCAAATAATTATACGGATATGTTTTGTGTAATTTTGAAGCTATTCCATTAAGCAGCGCAACAATAGAAATATTGTACAATTAATTTTTCAGGATCCTGGTTATAATCATGTTCTTGGTTTGTTCTGGTGGTGGTTGGTGGTACCGATACTGGTTGCAGGGCAGATACAGAGCAGCAGCTTCAGCTATTCCAACTCGATCTTCTAACAGTAGATCGCAAAATTCTCTTCGTAACGCACCTTGCCAGGCGCAGCAAGCTCGTATTACATACAATTCCGCGAGAAATACCGTCCTATTGCATCGCATGTGGAAAGGTTCGAAATTCGACGATCTAGTAGATTTACTTTATAAAAAATATGTGAGAAAACGCAGTGGAAACTTTATTTACGTAAATTTTCTTAAACCTGCAGGTCCTCAGAGAAGTACAGCGGCGCCAGCGTATAACGGTAACGCGACCACATCGACACACTATCAGAACATGAATGTCGTATTAAACGATGCCAATTGCCCTTATTATCAGTTGTATGGCCCACCGCCGAGTTACGAAACAGTGATAGCGCAAACGCGTGGCAAAATGTCAAATCCGGCATCACCGGAGTCCTCCTCGGCCGCGCGGCTGAATCTGCAGACGGCGAACGTGATACCAAATCCAAGTGTACCGCAGTGTTTTTTCTACAGCTGCAATTCTCCGGCGAGACTGGTGGATGGTAATTCGAGTCAATGTCAAAGTGATAGCGCGAACGCTCATCAGCTCGACAGCCACGAGAGTGTTCCGTTCGCGCATTTCTCCCAATATTGCACGACGAACGGCGCGGTCGGTCAAAACATGTGTATTCCTTTGGAATATCCAGAAGACCCGATGGCGTCCGGTGGAAGTAATTTCAGTTGTAGCTACCAGAATAGTCCGCATCGGTTGCCGGGATATCCAACGGATAGACCGTCCAATGTGCTGCCGGATGTAGAAAACGTGGCTCGCGGCTACGAGATTCCGAGTTCGGAGGAACATGCGATGCTCAATATTGACGCAGCGACCGACAACTACGGGGAACGTAGTCCTTGGCATGGAAATGATCAGTCTGTACGGGTCCACGGTAAAATTACCGTGCAGGATGAAAATCGAGTGTCTCAGAAAAGATGCGTCACGATCACCGATACGAACACTCTCTCGCCTAAGTCGGAGGAAAACGGAAGCGAGAACGAATTGAAGCGCGCGTTCAACGTGGTCTCTGTGACGCAGAGAAACTTCCTGAGAGGACGTACGAATCACGGCGGTTCCTTGCGACTACCGCGCAGACACACTAGTGTTATTTACCAAGACGACGGCTTCCAAAACGTTCTCCCCAGAGATACGTCGAGCGCTTCCCAACGGAGCACTTTCAATTACGCTCAGACATCCGCGGCATCCGAGGGCGCGAGTTCTCTGGAACGAGATGCGTATTCTTCTCAATCAAATCCATCCAATAATGTGATATTAGAATCCTTTATTTTTGAAAATGTGCAATTGCCTCCGAGTGAAAATGTCGAGGCGGCCCGCGGTCTTCGTGCGATGAATCGGAGTATAAACTTTGATCTTGAAAGTAAACACAAATTAGACAGATCAAAGTCGTTAGACTGAACGTAAATTGAAATTCATTGCGCGTATTACGCGATATTTATTCTTGTATGTCTCTATTATTCGCGCATAACTTAAATAGCAATATAAACTTAATCCTTCGTTATCGAGATACACAGATCTTTAACGGAGTTTCGACCGTCGCGATGAAATAACGATTCTATTTTATCAGAAATAATGCGGTATTATTTTCATTAACAGGTATGTATGGGATAATTTACCATAGCGATGAATATATTTCTCGCATTTACTAATTCCATAATGTTTCATAGTACTTCATCATTTCTTTAATTTGTCGAATTTGAATCGATTGAATCTCGTGAAAGATGTGTAAATATATATCATTCATTATTATTTCACGCAGTGTTATTAGCAAACTTAATATTAATCGTTAGACTTAATTCGCACTTCCGCAATATTTTTTGCAAGTAATACCGCAATTCTGAAGCTGAACTATTTTGATTATCTATTTGAGATGCTAAATATTATCTCTGAGTGTGATCGGCGATAGTTCCATTTACATATGTCGGCGAAACGTCTTATTTATGATATATCTATCGACATATACTGCCATGGAAAAATCTTTCTGACAAGTATCACATTGTCGTGTATCAGATACTAATTTTTTTTATTTTTCTGCACTATACTTAACGTAACGTAAGATTAAGACACAGTGAAAATGGTGTTTCAAAAGCGCGGCCCAATTTAATCCACCTACGCACAAAGAAAAATATCAATCATTACTCTATATAATGATAAGTAAATTGCACATTTTTTTAAATTATCAAAATTGGATTTAATTATCGTAATTAATACAATTAATTACGTAAGACCATGTGGAAGTGATTAGGATTTTTAATAAAATTCGTAAGAAATAAGATTTATTTCAAAATATCATAAATAAATTTTGACATATTTTTTCTAATAATGATGTCAATGTATTGAACTTGACAATGTCGAAGTAGCGCTCTTCGTGCAATATATTTTCGTCAAGCCAGTCTTCTCTATATATTTAAGCTTCTATTATATAAATATATATATGCACATTAATATTACCTCTGTATTAAAGAATGCGCAAATTATTACGCATTGCACATATACTTGACATTAAGGTACAATTATCCAAAAAAGATTCTAATTTGTTACAAAAAGAGATTCGAATTTACGATTGAAGCAGCAATACTCTTGTAATAAAAATGCGGCCACGGGTAAAAAAAAGAGTAAGAAATTAACAAAGCGAAGATCGTTCAATTGAATATTAAAAAAATATGAACGTAAGGGACGTACATACGATAAATTTATTATGCAAATAAATTTGCTTCAACAATCGCATTCGCGCAAATGTAACACGTTAATTTTCTTGTACAATACCACAGATTTAATATTATATATTATTTATATATTGTGTAAGAAGAAAGACTGCGTCCACATGCTGTGACATGAACAATCTTGATTTACTCTTATTAATGTGGGAACATTAATTGCAATCCTCGCGAATCATATCTTTTAGATAAAGTGCATTAAAAGAAAGCAATTCAATTTATATACGCGTTATACTTCTCGTCACCATTTTTTTTTAAATAAGTATATAATAACACACACATGCGACGTGTATTGAATTTTAAGATCTGGTGGTATATATCACGTCGCAACGTCATCCTTCGACTTAGGTTCTTGAGCATAATAGCGGTCCAAGAAAACGCAATATGTGCCAATAGCGACAAGTCCGTTAGATAAGCAAGTAATTGGATAAGCGAGATGCAGTCTCGCAGCCAAGGAGGTCTTACCTTAAAATGCAAAGCAAAATAAAAGAGATATATATGTACACACTTATTTTTTGTAATCGATTCTAACTGATAAATGGGCTATTTTAACGAGAGTCCGCGTGATTAATAATATAATAATAAGCTTGTACCATATATATATTGTACATCGTATATAATATATACCGCCACAAGTCTGTAGTAATTTCTAGTCAGAAAAGTCACTATATTTTGTGTGCGTGCGTTATGTCGTATTTCCCCATTTGTGTTTAAAAAATGTGACCCCCACCATGTATTTCAAAAACCTGCTTCAATTTTCAGAAAAATAAAATATATCAAGAAACCGTGACCGTGTTGCGGTTATTTTGCATTTTAGAAGCACGTACATTATTATTCTTTTTCTGCTGAAGATATTGCAGCATTTGCTATTGCTCCTCCAGTTTACTCTTCATTGAATTATTGCTTAACTCCGCTTTCGCTAGCTTATTTTCAAGATCAGTTATCTTACATTGCAGTTTTGAACTTTTTCGAAAGAAACAGTCTCATTATTCAATGAAATTTGAACAAGTGGTCCTCTTAATTCTCCGTGTCAGTTTTTCTTCCAATAAAATATTGCATTATTCGGCTTCATTGAGTTTCCTTCGTAATTTATCTTTTCCAGCTGTAAGAAGAGCTATGTGCTTTTGTAGCTTTGGAACGTTTTATACCTCGATTTCTTGTGCAGATAAGTGCACGATTTTCCTTTCTAAAGGTAGTATGCTCTGCAGCTCCACTGCTTACGAGCTTAATTGATTTTTACGGATTTACTTCGCTTCAGCAAGATGTGCTTTGGTGTACTTAAATATAATAATAATTTCAAACGCAAGTACGTTACAAAAGAATAGTGATGAGTTGCGGAATAATTAAAAAATTAATCAATTTTGTATATTCTCTTTTTCTTTGTACATTCTCTTATGAATTTATTCAGTGAATTTATAAAGTTGCTAATTTTTGAAAGAAGCTTTGAGATTGTTGAGCTTTATGTTAGTTTATTTCAATTTTCGCGAAGAAGATTGAAAGAATTAAAAATTTTTTCAAATTAAAAATGATACGGTAAAACGAATCCCTTTCTATTCCATATTCGGCATACAGTAGTAGATGATGTTCGCATATCGACCAGTAGTAAGTCATGAGTATATTATCGTAAAAATATATCATAAAAAAGTAGAAGTAATATAAGTTATACAAAATTATAAAATCACGAAAATCGTGAATTAGAAATTCGTTTCCAAAAGAATAAATATTAAATTTTTCTATCTTTGCAATTATTTTTCTTTCCGAAAGAGACGTGTAATGTGCATGAAAATGAACGACGATCTTATTCAGTCGCTGAGTTTTTCACAGTGATCCGTTTTTCGCACGGGCTTTAAACACTTCGTGGAATCGATTACGATTAACGCGACGTGACGGTGTATCAGTGTAACGATGATAAGGCGATACTTGTCGCGAGGTGACGATAAGAGATGGCAGGTAGAACCGGACGAGCGAGAAATCAATATAAACGGGATTCGCGGGGTCGTGGGGATGACGGGGTTGCGCGACGGAGGGTGGTAAGGGCATCCTCCCGCGTTGAGAGAGAGAGGCGGCCACCGAAAGCCGATTGCAGCACATTTTACCAGCCACGTTGGCGAAAACGACGGAAAATGCCGTAGTCCCGGTGGCGGCAGCCGAAAGCATCCAGTGAAGACCGTCTCTCGCCTTCTCACCCCTGCCCTCCGCTTCCTCTCTGTCCGGCCTCCACCCTTCGGTTCCTGCTCTTTTCATCGCGATCGCTGCCCCCGACTCGCGTGTGGGCGCGCGTATTCCACCCTCAATGGTGAATCAATAATTAAGGTGACAGTGCAGTGGTTGCGCGATCGTGTGCCGGGTCAAGATGTCGGTGAAGGTGAGTCTCCGTACGTGCATCCGCGAATGCGATGCGAGCATGGCATATATGACGGTTCCGGTATCCCTGACGTGGGATTCCCGGCTGACTGGTCAGCAAAATAGCTTCAGCTGAGCTGACCCGCTGATAAAACGGTCTCCCTGCGTTTTGCTGGGAGTGCTGTTGTTATGTAACGCGTACGATTTCAAATATTGATATCCCATGGCATATAGCGACAGAGGGAGAAAGAAAGAAAAGAAAAGAGAGAAAGAGAAATTGCGGAGCTTAGCGAAGCTCGTATCGTTTTTTTTTTGTTTGACGTTTCATTATCGTCGATAAGCATTAATGATCGTAATTCGTAGGTCATGGCTTATCACGCACGCATTTGCGATGAATTGCAAATCGGCATTTATCTTACCTTGACCTAACGCGTTTTCAGTGCGTAAACGTGATTAATCGAATGCGATTACTCGCGATTAGAAGATGCGACGTATCTTCGTCTGCTGTTTCGCGCCTAAATACACGCAACACGCGAGGAGACGTGATTTTCGCGTGCGGAGCACAATGATTTAAATTCTTTCAGGTTTTCTATAAAAAAAAAATCCGAAATAATATCCGCGCGACTGCGAACGATCTTCGCGACAATTAATATGAAATATTTATGTATATTCCGAAGCAAATCTTTTATGGCGAAATAATTATCAGATTAATGTTTTCTGAAGCACGATCGATTTTTCTTCGTACAATATTTATCAGAACATCGTTTTCCTTCTGTTTTCACGTGTACACGACGTGTTATGTAGCCCTGCGCAGTTTTAGTTCTGTGTGACGTTGTGCATTGTGCCTGTATTAAAGTCGACTGCGATTTGTTGATCTTATTACGGTATAATGTCTGCGCGGACGTCGACTGTCGCATCAAGCCGCGAAATATTTTAATGGCAATAACGGCGTCATAAGTGTCCGTTTCCTGCCGCAACGAGGCCCTTCGTCGAAGACGAAGATAATCCGAGGGTGCTCGCGCACGCAGAACACGCGTGCGCGCGACGCGCGCGTATTCCGCACGCGGCGCGTGCTTTTCGGCGCGCGCTTACGCACGCCGTCGTCAGTGTACGTATTATTGCGTACAGGCGGTTGTACGAGTAGTCAGCGCTTAATCACCGGCGCTGGTACAACAGACACGCATCGCTTGTTCCGCCCTTTCTCGCGCGGAGCTTCGGAAAAGCGAATCGGAGTAAACGCAAATTGAGAGTGCTCGCGAAAGTACATCGTTCTTTGATTTGACGCTTTTTAAAGTGACCTAAAACGAGTTTCTCTCCTTTAATATTTGCCAATTTTTTTTTCTAAGAAATAAGTTAATTACCTAGTGTTAGATAGAAGGGCCGCATTAATTGAAAACTGATGTGATAATTTGCAATTATTTCTTATGCGTTGTGTGCGCATGTAAGTTGAAGGTTCTCCGGCGTTTTCTCTCATCTGTGGAATTATCGATGAAGATATCGATCTTCGGTGAAAATTTGATTGCAACTTTCACTTCAGGCAACTTCTCAAACGTTAAACTTTGAATTTTTAATGAATACAAAAATTACAAGTTTAATGCAATCGAATTATTAGACTTTTTGAAATCTATCTAGTTGAAACTTAATTAGTACTTTTAATGGAAAATAATTACTATCGTTGATAATAGATAAGTAGATATACTATTTATAATGTCAATATATGATATAATAGATAAGTAGATATACTATTGATAATGTCAATATATGATATAATGAATCAATCGTGCAGATAATTCGTTTTTAAATATATTTTAGAACACATCACGTGTTTTATAAGGGATTTAAAAACAGTAAAAATATTATCATTCATTTTTTAACCCTTTTCTAATAAAAAAATCCAAGTACAAAAAGCTTGTGATTTAGAATATATTTACTTCAAATATGTGACTTTGCACTGAAAATAAATCTCATAAATCGAGCGCTCGCTGTATAATGTATTCAAATTCCGAAGCGCATTTTTCCAACATCTCTCTTTTGGCTTATCACAAATCGGAAACGTTTGCACACAAAATATTAAATGTTTGCCAGACATTTCCTCTTTCGTCGAGGGACAAAAAGTGAGATAACCAACGTGACACTAGCGATCGAAGCATATGCAATGTGTGTTTGTCAATCTGTCATCTGCTTTCGCTTACGATGACGTAAATGCTACTATCAGCGAATCTCATCTTCAACAGAGATTGCAGGTCAATATGCGTACTTGACGGACGAGGACTGAGGCTCGCATTCACTCGTTTCTCGTTTGAGCATAATATAGTGGTTTGTAATATTCGCCAGGCCATGTGTCACACAACGGCCAATATGATTCTCTGCAGCGTTCTCGGCTGAATGTCGAGTAATTTGAATTCGTGCGAATTACAATCGATAACTTTAACGAGAGCTCTCTCGGCGTTAAAGGATAAACGGTCTGTTAAATAAAATAAGCGTGTCCCGATATCATTCGAGCGCGCCTTTAAAACGTCGACATTCTAACTTGTAGAGTCGAGGACGAGTCGTATTTTTAGTACGGTCTAAAATCGTAGCGTTGCTGCGAAGTTCGCGAGTGAATTTTGCAACCTCAGCGAAGCGCTGGACCACGGGGATCGAAAGTGCAAAAATTCGCCCATTTGAGGATTGTCAAAAAGTGATCATTTTACTTAATACTAAACATTATCCGCCGACTCGTGACGTCGATTGCGATCTTCAAGTTAATTTAGCTTCTTAGTTTCCTGGAAAAATCCGGTTTTGTTTGAGATTCGAGGAATGAGTTAACTGCGAAGCAAAGACTGAAAATAGACGAGGATCTTACGTTGAAACTTGTGACGATAACAATATATTTACAGTCGAATGATTCAGGGATTAGAAAATAGTAGACTGCTATTCCAGAGTATTTAATCGCGATGCGACTGACGTTCCGTGGATTTCATTTCCGTGTGATCGCAATGTGGTGCACGGGTATCGTTTTACATGAGTGCTAATACTGCGTTGTAACGTTTGAATTGAGACCATTGCGCCTATTGTACTTCCACTCGACAAACTGTGTCATAAAAACAAACATCTGCTATGCAGATGCGGATCAGCGAAATACAAACGTAAAGCGTGCTCTACCGCGGAAGCCGTGTTCTCTACAAAAATTTTTCGCGGTGAGTTTCATTGTAATCGACACACATTCTCAGTTCATTTTATCAAAGAAAAAGAAGATAAGACATTTCGAAATGCTTGAGCCAAAGTTTTATAAACTTTAAAATCATGAATTACCTCATATTTGTGATTAAATTTGATTTCTAATTAGATTCTTTGTATGTTGATTGAGATTTGATGATCTTCCTTCTTTTTAATAAAAGATACAACGACCTCTCTCTCTCTTTTATCTTTCTGATATATATGTATATAATTACATCACGAATTAAAAGTAATTGTTAAAATTTAATTTTTATTTTAATCAAATTATAAATTTTTCTTAAAAAAATTTTAATTTAACATGTATTGACTAAGAGATTTATTATCAAATGTGAAAAAAATTCTAAGAAATTAATGTCCTTCTACGAAATGTACTTTTAAAAAAGTGCTTACAAATTTATTTAAAAAATCTGCTATTAAAATTAAGATCAGAGATTCTTGAATTTCTAGTATGTTAATATTTCACAGAAATTATTTCACGCATGAAAGAAAGATGCGTTATATATAATAATAAGCTAATAAATGAATATTTTTTTATGTAAATATTACTAGTAATTTTGAAAGTGAAAAATGATATATCATTAAAAAAGTAATTTAAGTATAATGTCATTGATATCTAAAATAATATGGAAAAAATAATTATGTCACGCAATATAATGCTTTAGAATTAACGTGATTAAATTAATAAGTCATAATTAAAAAAGAAGTACCGAGTACTGAAGAATTTTTTTTTACAAATAATCAATTTCAGGACAAAATCATATATATGTAAAAAAAATATCTCAATGACTTAAAGAATCAATATCATCTGAATCGATCTCTAATCATTATGCAAAAGTATGCACATGGCTTCGCAATTTAAATAGTTACGTTATCGCGCATAATTTTACGACATAGTCATAGATTGCGAATGCGTCGTACATTCTGTTTCTTTGAGATTATTGCGTTTTGTTCTAGTCTATTTTAGTTAATTAATAAGTGCGTTTTCATAAAACATAAAGTGTTCATTTGTCTCCTTCTCTCTCTTTTTCTCTATTTCTTACAGATATTTTATCTGTTATAAAATTTGTTTATGATTTATAATTTATAGATAATAAATATCTATATGTGTAATATTTATGACATAAGTTTAATAATATTTATTCAAATTTATCTTTCTTATCAATAAAGATATTCATAACATGTCATAATTACTATTGATATGTGTTTTCTTTTGCACATTAATTTGTAATCTGTTTTTTAATTTCCGCAAATGCGGAAGAAATAAATAAATTTATATTTTTATTATGTAAAATTAACAGTGTCTATATTCTTTGAGAGGCTATTAAACTATTACGTCGTTGTTTAATGAACCAACAAGAGAGGCAAAGTTATACACGGTCGCATAGCTATTTACGACTAACTAATTGTCTTATCTTAAACATACACGAGAGGCATACTTCGCTACTTTCTTTATCACTGTTTGTGAAAATAAAGTCTTTGTTGTACTAAAGAAAATATTGAACTTTTTCGAAATTTGTTACGATTTCGTCACGTCGTCCATATTTACTTTTTTCATATAATCTCGGTAAAACCGTGCCAGATGTTTCGACGTGCGCAAATTTAAAGATCAAACGCTTTATTTGTTATTATAAGTCTTCCCAATGTGCAGCGTATATAAATTGGCGTGTACGTTCGATATAGCTCGTATGTACGGTTTTAAATATTACTTAAATTGCTTTAATCTGACGTCAAGGTTTTTGCTCGCAAAATGTATTTTCACGTGATTGTTATTCAGATGACGAGGTACAAACAGGCCGAATTCGAGGATGAAGACAGCAGCAGCATCGGCTCCGTCGCCCTAAATAGCGAAGGCATCAGTACATCCGCCACGCATATAAGATATCATACGGTGAGCGTTTCCAGATTAATGTAAAATTTCCATGTTAATTAAATGTTTGTAGCAAAAACAGAAAGCGAGAATAAGTTTAATTTTCAGTTCACGCATTTAATCGAAAATATATTTACGTTATTCGGTATAACATAAATACGCTGCTCAAAGGAGGGCATTATTTAATTTGTTATTAGAACATTTTTCGATTTTTATATTCTTCAAAAAATATTTTACAAAAATGATTATATTTTAATATTATAGTTTTAAATCAATAATATGAGATTTATAGAATGGCAGCTTTGAGATGCTGATCGATATGATCTTATCACAGGGTACAACAATGTGGAAGGCGAGAAGTATTTTGGAAAGATGCCTTCTCATAATTTGCGGTGTTTTGCTGTTAACAATCTTGGTACTTGCCATTGTGATCAGCAGCAAAAATGGCTGGGACGACGCTCAGATTCTTCACGTCTCTCACGAAGGTAAAAAAGATAATTATAATTATTTATAACAATTAAGACCTTGATGTTGCAGTAATAATTTAAATAATTGCATGTTTGGTGTTATTTATTTTTTAATTTATTTCTATGAGATCTAAACAGTAAAACATTTAATTAATTAAAGTTAACTCTAAGCGATATTGAACCAACCGATTTTAATCCATAGTATCACGGTTTTTTACTCTGGACATTGTCTTATTCTGATCTGTAGTTTTATTTATAGTGTAATTAGAGAACAATTATCATGACTATTAACAACAATTAATTTTAATTCTGATTAAGTCTAATCAACGCTAATCAAAACGTTAGTGCATTTATTTCTTGCTTATTATGAATTGTCGCAGATGGCCGCACGCATTGCCTCACGGAACAGTGTGTAACGGTGGCGGCTTCCTTAATTAATAGTATAGATTATTCCGTCGATCCATGTGATGATTTCTACGAGTACGCATGCGGCGGCTGGAGAAAGAAAAATCCCATTCCGGATGGGAAGAACGTGTGGGGCACGTTCGGCAAGCTGGAACAGGATAATCAACTGGTCGTCAAGAATGTTCTGGGTAATCATTAGCGTAAACGCGCGTAATTCGCGAGCTTAATGAACCTTTATGTATTGTACATACGTATCTATTAAGCTGTCATTTCATTTTGCGCACAGAGAAACCGCTTAGCGAGATGAAATCAAAGGCCGAGAAGAAGGCCAAGTATTATTATTTGTCCTGCATGGATGCGAATGAGACGATCGAGGCGCTTGGGGCGAAGCCGATGCTGGAATTGTTGGAAAATATCGGCGGTTGGAACATCTCTGGCAAATTCAACATCAGCGCGTGGTCGCTTCAAAATAGTATGCATATTCTGCAAAACGTGTACAATATGGGCGGTCTATTCTCCTGGAGCGTGAACGAGGACGACCGTAACAGCACTAGACACATAATTCAGGTACAAGCAGATTACAATAAATTTGACTAACAATGTGTGGATGTGTGTGCGTAAGAGAAATATCGAAGCGTAGAATTCTCTCCTAAATTCTGACGCGAACTATAGATCGTCAAAACGTATTAGACAAGTTGATTATTATCATTTTTTTTCTCTGTGCAATACTTGCTTTAATTGTAATAATAGCGATAATTACAGTTTTTGTTCCTGTTATTATCGCTATAGTATTGACGTGTAATTAGAGCTCAGCGGTGAATTGAGTCAATGTGATTCACATTATCATTATTACATATTATATACATATATATATATATATATATATATATATACATTTTTTTAAGATTGATCAAGGAGGTTTAACACTACCAACTGCGGACAATTATCTCAACGTAACTGAACATGGCAAAGTCTTAGCCGCCTACTTGGACTACATGACGAAGGTACAAGAGTAATAATACTAGCACACGTTTATTGCCGCGCGATACGTCGTATTGCCTTGAGGGCTAGTCGAGTACAGGTACTCGTGCACGTTTTCAGATCGGCGTGCTCCTAGGTGGCGAAGAGAATGTCACGAAGAAACAGATGCAGGATGTAATTGATTTCGAGACGAGGCTCGCGGAGATTACTATACCGCCTGAAGATCGCAGGGACGAGGAGAAAATATACAATTTAATGTCGTTAAATGAAATGCAACGTAAAGCACCTTTCGTACGTTTGACATCTTTTATTCTATATCATATATTTTGATTACGTAATATTGCAATTATTGCGGATACAATCTGTGATTTTCCGCTGTTGTAACGTTTTCTTCGACGAACTGATATAATATTTGATATTTGATATCTTATATATATTCTCTATCATACCCTGCACCATATCTTCTTAATAAACATAAAACGTTTGTGGACACTTTTCCAAACAGAGTAATTGCTCTTTTTCAAGTAAAGGCTGGTCGATCGACAAAATCGACAAAATATGATGGTAATATCTTTATGTGTTTAGATGTCGTGGGTAGATTTCTTCCAAAACGCCACACGTCTCGTGAACAAGAAGATTAACAGTAAAGCAATGATCGTAAATTTTGCACCGGAGTATTTCATAAAACTGACGAAAATCGTGCAGGACTATAATAAGACAACTACCGGAAAGATGTACGTATACCTGCGAGGTACATCAGATGTGGCACAAAGTGCGCGATTTTTGTATATTTATAAAGTTATTAGTCTCATCGAAAAAAAAGTGTCAATCTTTTCCTTAAATTTTTCTTTCCACAGAATTCTGAATAATTATCTGGTTTGGCAGACCGTGAGATCCTTGACAGCGTTTCTCTCGAAACCATTCCGCGAGGCTTACAAGGGCTTGCGGAAAGTTTTGCTCGGCTTGGAAGGCCACGAGGAGCAATGGCGTTATTGCGTCAGCGATGTTAATAACGCCATGGGTTTCGCCATTGGCGCGATGTTTGTCAGAGAGGTTTTTCACGGCAAGAGTAAGCCCATGGTTAGTTTGCATTAGTGTCCCGATTCGAGAAGAAATTAAATAAAATTAAATTTAATAATTACTCCCTTTTTATCAATTCTTTTATTGTATAAAACAAAGAGTTAACAAATTTTCAAGATAAAATAGGAAATAATAATTCCTTTTTATTTTAAGACGTTAAGATATAATTTGAGATATGTGTTTTTTAATTTATAAAGTAAAATGTATTTCGATTCGTTTTGATTATTGCTTCTAGGCGGAGGAAATGATCAATGAAATTCGCAACGCATTCACGAAAAACTTGAAGAATCTAGACTGGATGGACGCAGAGACGAGAACTTCTGCCGAGGAGAAAGCAAACGCGATCACCGACATGATCGGCTTCCCGGACTTCATTCTGCAGCCCAGCGAACTCGATGAGCGTTACAGGGATCTGACGATCAGGCAGTACGAATATTTCCAGAACACGTTGCGCGTGAACAAGTACAGTTTCCGTAAAAATCTCGAGAAACTTGATCAGGTGGTGAATAAGACCATTTGGATAATGACACCGCCGGCCGTGAATGCTTATTACACACCTACCAAAAATCAAATAGTCTTCCCTGCTGGTATCCTTCAGAGTCCGTTCTACGACATGAAAAATCCCAGTAGTTTGAACTTCGGCGGCATAGGCGTGGTTATGGGGCATGAATTAACGCACGCCTTCGATGACCAAGGTATGATTTTAAAGTTTAAGTTATAAGCGTTATATTCTTATAATAGAGAATAAAACAGATTACTTGATACGTAAGTGAGTTATACAATTATCACGAGTAAGAGTTTATTTCAAATCGCAAAGATACGATTTATATTCAAGCCAATATTTAAAAGAGTCCTTGGAACATTTTATATTTATGTATTATATAAAGAAATTAATTTAATAAGAGTTTATTTCAAATCGCAAAGATACGATTTATATTCAAGCCAATATTTAAAAGAGTCCTTGGAACATTTTATATTTATGTATTATATAAAGAAATTTTCACGCTCGTATATTGATTGCAAAATTTATATCTTAATAATTTTTTCATATTTCGCATATGCATATATTTATTCTAACTCATTTATTTATTCAAAAATAATTTTACCTTTATTACTAGTTACGTATTTGATTAATATTGGGTAGGTCGACTGTACGACTTGCACGGAAATCTGCATCACTGGTGGAACAACGCTACGATAGAGCGATTTAAAAATAGAACCGAATGCTTTGTGGAACAATATAACCATTATCAAGTACAAGGTCGAAATATAAATGGCCGACAGACGCTGGGTAATTTTATTGATTACAAATAATTGCTTAGTGATGATGGAAGTATCAGAATTTAGACCGATCGATTGTAATGTACAGGAGAGAATATCGCCGACAACGGGGGCCTTAAGGCAGCGTTTCACGCTTATCGTTCGATGTTTAAGAGCTACGAAGATCAACTGCCGCTACCCGGTCTCAATTTGACGCATCGTCAACTATTCTTCCTGAATTTTGCACAGGTTATTATAAATAATAATTGTGACGGATATATTAAATTGATGGAGAAACGACTTTTACATTTAATTTAATATTTTCATTAAAAGATGCGAGGTTTAATCACACGAGAAATGTCCATAGATTTGGTGCTCCTCCATAACGGCCGAGACGGAGATTCTTCAAATCGAGAAGGATACTCATAGTCCGCCGAGGTACAGGGTGATAGGACCACTTTCGAATCTGCCAGAATTTGCGACGGAATTTAACTGCCCTAAGAACGTGAAGATGAATCCGGTACATAAGTGCGAAGTGTGGTAACGCCTCCTGTTTATCCTAACTGATTCATCGAGGACAGTTTGGTTGAACTTGATTTTCGGTGTCGTGGGGAGAGCGCTGTGGCTTCCATGTGCCGTTGTGTAACGGAAGACACGTGTCTGGAACATAGGACTTGCTTCGGGCATCGGACTATGTGTGCATTTTTTAATTCCTTCACATATCACCGTGAGAATAACTACTTAAATTTCATAGATCTTCTATCAGCGTATGATTTTATCAAAATGTTCAAACGTGCGATCTCGAAGGTAGTCAGGAAACCTTTTTCACACCTTTGACACCTTTTTCAGCCGCGGAAATTTATTTGCTAATTTCATATCAGTGTCACTCTCTTATCATTTACTCTGACATTCTATTTCAGAGTTAAAAGTTTATTTAAAAAAATCTAAGCTGGCGATGATTATTCTTCGAACCTTTTTACTATTTTTTTTTGTTCAACTATCTAATTTGTGGAATTAATAATTCACACTAAATTCTCAATCAGCAAATAAAGACTTATACGAGTTACTTAGATCGTGCGGAATATCATACGCATTTTTAATGTCATAATGACAGAATCCACTAGCGTTTTAAACTTATATATTGAGAAAGTTTTTATTTTATTATATAAAAACTACTTATTTTACTAGACGGAGAAATCGGTCGTTGAAATTGTGGTAACGCGACACGATACTCTATCGCTGATGTCAAGGAAAGTATTTTTAAATGTGCTTAATTGTGCTAAATATTTTTCTCCTGTGCCACCTAGCATACACTTGACATTTAAGCGAATCGGAGACCCGACTTTTCCGTTTGGAAAGACGTCTCCGGAAATAAAAAATAATTCAAAAAAAGAAATAGTGGAAAGATTTTATTTCGTGAAACTACGAATACTCTTTAAAATCAGAAATTGTCTTTAGAATTTCCTTCGGTGCTGAAGAGGCTGTAAAAAGTAAAAAGAGATTTCACATGCGATTTCTGATTACATAAAATGAATATTTAAAATAAATTTTGCAGAAATTAATGATTTTCAATTTAATTTGAGTATTATATTTTTTACGAGATGTGATACTATCACGAGATGTGATACTATCAGCTGTACTTGCATAAGTATTGTTTACGAGACGTTGTTTGAGCTTATGCCTACACAGAATCAAAGTATAATTCTATATGTACTTTCTCTTTGTTTCGACTTGTATTATAATATTAAAGTATTGTATAATTGTATGCAGAAGTTTTTAATATTTTATTGATAAAGATTATACGGCATATTTGTAAATAATGTGATTTCTATCGAGAAGCTTATGCATCTGTCACAAGGATGGCGTAGACCTTTGCTTGTTAGCATTAATTTCCTTTTTGTAATTTAATAGAAAATGAAAATCTCAACGCAATAACCAGCCATGATCCGGAGTTCATTCAAAATGCTAAAGTTTTGTTGTAAATCTTTCATTCTTGTTACTATATTTGCTCAGTCATTGGCTCCAATTATTGCTGTGAACATAATACGAATATTGCAGCTCGAGTGAGTCTTGCACATTTCAAAAGAGATGCCAATCAAAATCTGACCTTTTTTATTGCAGAGTGAAAATACAAGTCCACGCAGCATCATTTCATACGTGAAACAGAGTATTATAGGTAGTCAAATCTTTTATTGTATATTGAATAAGGTACACTTATTATCCATGCACGTAACCAATTTATTTAAGGTCTTGCGATCCCAATAATTATCGCGACATTCATACGAACCGCAACAGAGCGGAAAGAAGAATATCGACAACACTAATTAAACACGATTACGCTTAACTTCGTTTTAAGTTGCGCCATCAAACATTGAGAAAATACGTTATTCTCGACGGAATGTTGTAATGTTAATCCTAGAAGAGTCCACGAACCCTATACGATTCCATACAATCATTACTGAATCACAAATGTCATAAATACATTTCTCTTTTTATTTTTCTTATTGAGCAATAAGGAGATCAGAGGAATTTAGTTTGTCGGGATCTTTAAGAAGAAAATCTTTAGGCAGAAAATAATCAAACGTACTAATACATTTTTATGCTCGAGGGGAGTGTGGTGTCTCGTAAGATAGAGAGATACTATAGAGGTCCGTTGGATATATCTAGGATTAAATCTAGGGTATTAGCATTAAGCTCGTCAGATTTGAAAAATCGACGATCCAAATGCGGAAGCGGGGAAACACTGAAACTGCGGTGCATTCGAATCTACGATTCCTTGCCGTAATTCTCCCGTTCTCGCTCTCTCGCTTCCGCATCCCCTTGTTGGAGGGTCATAGGTGGCAAAGTACCACGTAAAGAGAAGCCAAAGTTTCTTTAATTACAATTGTAAGATCCATATAGGCCTTAAATATATGACGCCGATGCATAATGCATTTGTAAATGTCTGTTGTTTATAATTGTGAATAATGTCTTGTAACAATGAGAGGAGCACGTCGTTTCTGCGGTTATAAGATATTGTTGCGCGTTGTATTTTAAGATACAATTCGCGCGTGGTTTTACGTAACGCAGAAAGAGTGTATCGATCGATGACGATGTTCGCCATGATTATTTTTCTGTATTGTATATTATGTACTATGCTTATATACATATTATTATTATTATTATTAAATTAAAATTAAAGAAACGGAGCAAATCTTCACGCTCACTGCTGGCATTATACTCTAATTACATCCTTTGCATTATTTATTTTCTTCTAAATCAGTGTGATGTAACGTTTCAGAAAAATATTTATTCGTATTACAACATTCTCTAATGAATATTTCTAAGTAGTCTTTTTCTACAGATTTTCATCTAAATTGAATTTATTAGAAAAATATGCGTAAAAATAATAATAATTAATGATTAATAAGACAGTGTGCGCATTGTTGGACATAACATTTTGATCATGTGTGCATATAATTTTTAAAACACTAAAGCTAATAAAGATGAGACATTGATGTCATGGTTATCTTACTTGTTAAAAACTTGATGTTATTGTTGATTTCGACATTCTTGGATATATTATATATTTATTGCCATAAATACTACATTTTTACCATCGATTAATTTGTATTGTAACGTTCTGAAGAAATTCTGGATTTTTTATATTTCTAGATAACAATTGTAAGTTAAATTTCCGACGCCATTTGAATCGTGATTTCATTTCATAATACGTCTTCATTACGTTTAAATTGTTATCGCGTGTGCCCAGCAATATCAAATTAGAATTTTTCTTCTTGAATTTCCGCGCGTGCTGTTTATACCAAACGTTCTCCAAAATGCAGATCAATACACTGATAATCATCATCATGAGGAAGAACCAATTAGTTAAACGAATATGCATGTATTCGACTGATTGGAAACTGTTCGATGGATGATAATTGGATTGGATATAAATTTGTTGTGTGATCCACTTCTTCTCAAGATAATTCAATATCCCAGCCGAATGCATACGTGTTAAACTATAAATTGCAAATATTTCTTTATTAAGAATGAAACAGAGAAATTGCATATTAATTAATATAACGGAATGTTTGTTCCAACTATATTGCACATTTCTTATAATACAAATAAATTTATTATTCATGTATAATGAATAATAAATTTATGGTAAGTACTAGTTAAATAATTTTAATATAAATGACCGATAGTTTTTTAATTTAAATGAATTAATTGATAAATTAATTATCAATTTTACTTATTAAAATTTATATTTCTTCTGAAATATTATCGCTATTTTGACATGAAAATAAAATTTTTATTTTAATAAATCAAGTTTTAATTAAGCACATGTATGAAATTGAGAAAATGACATTTACTATCTGTCAATGAGTCTACGATGTTGCGCCGTCCTGCCATGCAAAAATGCCAGTCTGACACTCCAATAATCGTCAGGCAGTTGTATGATGTCACACTCGTGCTGAACTCTGCGATAAATTGGTAGAAATACGGCCGGTACCTCCAAATAAGCGAAACCTGGACGGCATAATTCCGAAGCGAGAATCTCGCTGTCTCTCATGTTGGGGCAGTCATAATTCAACAATTCTTCCCATTCGGCCTGAAGGTCGCTTTCTAGCAATTTATCCTGTTGAATATTATTTTAATTAATTCCCTCACGGCACGTGATGTCTTTTATTACATTATTCGATATATTAAACGATGACATCGCGGTTGATGTAACGGTCGCATCGTAATAAATTCTTGAGTAAGCGAAAAAAATAAAAAAAATAGTCGAATGTTCATACTGTATTCTCCAACTATCCTCAACTACTTCCTTCCGCTTATTCTTCTAATATTTCGAAATAGTTTACATTCTCTAAAGCTTTCAAAGCTATCATTTTGCAAGTCTCTCTTTGTGCTTGACATATTAAAATAGATTCATGATATTATTCGAAAATAGCATTATTACTTTTGTTCTAGTTTCTCAACATGAGAAAGCGTATTTTCCTGAATTTTAAGAGAACACATCTTCTAACCGAAACTGCAGATGCATCGTTTATATTTATACATTTTCTTTGTCTCTATTTTTACCATCGTAAAATAGGTATATGCGGTGCTGTCGTTTCTAATACAAAGCGAGTGTGTCTTTTTCTTCGCCACGTCTTCCAGATTAGTCAGGGAAACGGAGTTTTCTTTATTCATTAGGCAAGAAGTAAGAGTGCTGCTGAATCCGCATGACATCAACATTCCCGTCACCAGGGAGCACAAAATTATTAATCGAAGAGACAAACTTCTCGGCATTTTCTGAAACCCTAAGTATGCAATCTTTAACCGTTCTTTTCCAAAGAAGACTCTCTCTTTGAATACAATGCGAAGTAGAATTTGTGTAAATGAAATTATAAGAGTATCATAAAAAATCAATTTTGGAAAAAAAATCATTGTATATATTATACAATACTTAATTTTTAATGTTGAAGTATTTTTATCAAATTATCTTATATCTTATCGTTTCTTATCTTATCTATTCATTTCGCACTTCATGCATTACCTTGAAAACACAAGACGTGAAGAAAATTAAAAGACAACGAGGCGAGCTCGTCATCGCACTCCTCATAGTTGATATACACGAGTTTCTTTATGCGATATATTCCCCAGATGCTGCATGCGATGCATATGATAAATATAAAATATGCCAGCCATAAGCTGCGGCTAAAGATGTTAACGTACCACCATTTTGTGTCAATCACACCTTCTGATTGAACAAATAGAGCATATCTAAAGGATAAAAATTACAACTTGCAATAATATTTCAGATAAATACGATTTAATCGTTATTGTATCCGAATAGAAATTTGGAAAGGTGTAGTTCTCGAAAATTTACCGAAAATAGATGTAAATTGGAACTTCTCTTTTTAAATGGAACAAGATCGCGTTGCGTTTTACTTCGCGATAGTATCACAATCGTAATTGTATTATATATGCCCATCGTATGTTTGCGGCGTGTGCGTGCAGTGATAAAAAAGTTTCCTCCCGATAACGATCGATCGGAAGACTTATCTTCGTGCTCCCCTTCCGCTTCTTTCCTCCCCCGCGAAACAGCTGGCACGGAGGAGAAATTGCGAAAGCGAAATCAGAAAGTTATTAACTTTCCAAGATACAATCGCGGGAGCATATATCCTGATAGACCGGTGCCTAAACCGGAACGGGTTAATGACCGGCGTTAAAACCACCAGCTGAAGGAAAAAGCTTATATCGCGCGCGCGTTCGCGGGTAGGGGAAGAAAGGGGGTGAAAGCTCGCGATAAGCACGGGCGCGCGTCGCCTCACGCGCTCCCGGAGGAATGTTTGCGTTAAAAAAAGGGGGACGAAAGGGGGGGGGAAGGGTGCTAAAGTAATAATTCGACTTACGAATTGGTCGTGAACGGCGTACTGTAGGTATAATAGCTCATGGTATGCATGTACATCGTCATGGGCATCAGTAGTGCGTGAGTATCTCCATTCATCATTTCATTCGTCGCGATGAACGGCTCGCTCACTTTTCGATAAATCGTTCTGCATTTTCGTCGAAAAGACGCCTTTATTACGGTGCCGCGCAACTCGCACGTCCAACACACCAACCCCCAATCCCCCTCGCCGCCGCTGCTGCCGTCGCCGCCGCCGCCGCCGCCGCCGCCACCGCTGCCGCCGCCGCCGCCGCTGCCGCCGCGGCAACGTATCCCTTGTCCCTCGCCCTACCCGCTGCCCATCTACCCATCCTGATACTATACTTATACCTGTCTAGACGAATGAATCATGCGAGTATTTTGACCCACACCGGCGGCGTGGGTGTGGGTGGTACGCGGAAAATTGGGCAGGTTCTACGTACGGCTTCGTCACACATACCCCTTTGAAGAAGCGTCGCCATGAAAATTGTTCGTGTAAATCCGCCGTCAGGGCGGTATTACGGTCGCTTTGGCCGTGCAGGCTGACGAGAGGGAGGAAGTAGTCCGTTGGCATTTAGAGATAATTTTGCGCGAGAAGCCCCGCATCGACGTAGGTATCTGACTCTCAATGACTATCAGGAATCTATATTTATACAGGAACCTCGCCGAAATACTTCGCGAATCCGCTGCCAAGGTTACTTACATACATCGGCCATAAATCATTCTACACAGCCAAGCGGAGAAATCTATTTCTCCCTGCTGTTAAAGCGTGTACGAAGAAATACTTAAAATAAAACTAAATACGCGGAATAAAAATCTACCATTCGATCTTTCGAAGAAAATTCTAAATACTTGAAACAAAGGTACTTTTTTTGTCGATGGATTTTGGGGAAGGTAGAAAATACTAACTTGAACTTTAAAGTTTCTTCTAAGATCGTCCAAATGTCTCCTATAAATCCTGTGACCTCGTTGTTGTTATCATTTATGATGATGTACGGATGCATCTTGAAAGGATATTTTATAATTAAATGGCATTGCTGCCATTGACATTTGACAATTAATCCGATTAATTAGCCCGATTTTCTAAGAAAATCACGTCAAAAGAAACCAATACTCACAGGTTCCGTGGCAACGATGAGGGTCTTTCCGCGCAAATCGTTCACTACGTTAACGCTACAGAAAGCAGTATCGTTCGATTTTAGCGCCTCGAGCTGTTCGAATTCCTCCGTGATCGCATTCCAAAGTGAAACATGTCCTGGATGATCTTGTATTAAGAAGCTTTCCTTCGCGTTCCCTAGAAGTCTGATGCACATTTCCGTCGCGGCATACGGAAGTATCATCTACAACGATTATTACGCGATCGTCAAAATTGGAGCGAATGACAAGATTGATGTCACTTGTATATAAAAACTAGTAGTTAAAAAGTAATGATTATTTAAAATATCGAGAAAGAACGAGATATCTATTCACTGCACCGATAGTAAGAGATATTCCATCGTGGCGACTCCAATATTTCGCTGCATTTATTTCTGGCGAACACTTCCAGCTCTATTGCGCGAATAAGATGGAAATCGTTCCTGTCTTTGCCTTTTGTCGCGTAAATGTAGAATAATAATTGACAAGTTTGACAGGAAAGACGAGCAGCTTTTGTTGTGATTGTACTGTGTCAATTATCGATTTGTAAGCACGAAGAAAAATCAATGTGCCATATACACATATCTGGAAGTACGCTTTTTAAATAGAATTATTACAATATGTATGTTTACCATTCAAGAATAATCTCTTGATATTACAATCGTCGTAATAAATTATTGTAAAAGATTGTCAGATCTTCGAGTTATTTCCTGAAAATTGTGCGTGCGTAACTGGGAATTCCCAGTAATTTAATTTCGATGAGAAAAGATTAAATACTTATTAAGCTCCTCTTTCCTGCATTAATGCGCGATAAGGAGATTTCAGATAATATACGTCAATTTTATTCAATCAAAAAAATAAATTTAATTATTTGTAAGGATGAAAATTAATGTTCTAATTTACATTATCTAAATATCGTATGCCACTTTTCATCGTCAGTTGAATAGAGCGATTATAAACTAACGCTGCGCGTGAGAAAGACTTCAATGCTTGGCGAACGCTGTAATCACATAACGCAAATAATAAGTTCTTTAACTAATGCGGATGACATATCGTTACCTTCATATTTTTATTGTTGCGTATCAGATGTTTTAAATCTAACAAATGTATTTTCAGTCTTGATTTGATAATAAATAAAGAGCCATTTTTTTCTTATTAAATATTTTACAAAAGAGGTTTATTTGTTGCAAATTTTTAATTTCTAATGTAAAAAATGTCGCGATAATTGAGTCTCAAATTAATTATTCTGTATTTTGTTTACTGTATTTTTGCATTTCAATACAAACTTGAAGCAAAAATTTATTACGTAACTCAACTTCTATAAGCGTGTTCTGAATCACTTTATTGATAATTAGTCTTATTTACACAATAATTAAGATCTTTTGCAGTTTAATTTGTAATTTTATATGCGAAAAGGAAAAAGTTATTTTCCATGAATGTAAGACGAAGTTTCTATAATCGAGTAATTTATCATGTAGAATTCTTACGTGTAGTTGTTGATCATAGTAGATCTGAATATTAAATATCAATTATTAATTCATGTAATATACATTCCTAACTTGTTTTTAACTCTTCCTCTCGTCAACATTGTGATATATCAAGAAGTTATCTGTTAATCGACCGCAATAATCAAGTTCCAGTTTTAATTGATTGATAATATTTTAAATTATTATCTCATTATTGTTAATTTACTTTTTTTTTACTCTATACAAATCATATTATTTTATTTGTGTTACGTTATAGTAAAATATTTCTGACAGCAGAATTTATTTTTCAATATTTTTTTTTTACGCCTTGTGTGTATGTGTTATATATACGCTTAGGTCATATAGAAAGGGAACGTTTTAGTTTACTATGTTCCATCGAAAAAGTAAGAAGTTAAAGAGGAAGAAGACACGTGGACGGTATCGATAACGGCGATCTGACGGATGGAGTCTCGTCAAAAATGAGGATCGCGCGATCGCAAAGATCAAAGCGAGATATCTTCGCTGAAGCTATAAGCAATTCCGTTCCCGATCTCCGCAAGGATGCAAATTATTATAATTGATTCCAGAGAAGAAACGATGGGGAAAAAAGTAGGAGAGATATGGAGAGATTGGTGTGTGATCAGGCGCCTATAAAATTTTATTGAACGACATAATGCACCTGTAGTAGTGCAGTTACAATGTAGGGGGCGATCCGTCGTTCAACTTTAACCGGATATGATGAAAGAGTCCGTTGCCGATCAAGGTACTCATTACTTCACCGCGATCAATGTGTTAGCGGAGAGGCACAGATATCGTGGAGATTTCGACGAGCCGAGTCGTTCTTCGCTTTTCACCTTCCGGCGGTCGCTTACGCGCACAGATCTCACGGATGTCGGTTTTAACGGAGATAAATCATTTTACCGTTATAGTTAGATGCACCCAGAGCGCCCTTTGTACCCTCCCTTCCCGATCGTTCGATTAAACCAGACAACATTTATCAAGCGGATCGTCGCCGCGACAGCTAACTTACATCTCTTCAAAAGCAATACGACGAGGCCTTCCGAAGTACTTCCTGTGACTATTCTCTATCGTTGAGACATGCTTGTAATATGTCTCGATCCCCGCCTTTGCAATGTAAAAATCTATCTTGCCCAATAGCGCGATTTAGACGGTAGACGAGATGGTTCGTCGCTTTCCATGCCCCCGATGCAATCGCGGCCGCGCGCCTATCCGAAATCTCGATGGGTTTCGCTCGCGACGGAGATGTATGCGGAATGAGAAAAGATCGAGAGAAACGCGTTTAGAATACACGACGCGGTGCATCTTCGATTTGCGCGCATTTGAGATTTGAATCCTTTTGAGAGCCCATTTGGATTTTAAATGTCGCGGACCACGACGGGCCCTGGCTCTCTATCTCGCATTCACCGGGGACCCGATCTTCTCCCGGTATCTCCCTCCAGCCCCTTCCGCCGTCATACTGCGCTATCGTGCATCGACAACGTGGGTCCTGTCGATCGGTCGGTGCGCTCCCGCATCTTATGTCCTCGATTTCGGGGATAGGCATAAAAAGATTCGATCATTGATCCGCACGGTCAAAATTCGTGCACAAATTGCACGTGTGCAACCGACAACGAATTTAAAAGTTTATATAGCATGAGAGAGAGAGAGAGAGAGAGAAAGAGAGAGAGAGAGAGAGAAAGAGAGAGAAAGAAAGAAAGATAAGAGCGACGCGTACTGAGTGATATCTTTTGCCATTTGATCGTGCTCGTGGCTTAAAAAAGGAATAACAAAATTTTCGTAGTCGGATGAGAGCTGTTACGTGTCGCACAACTACCATTGTTAGAATTTTAAGATTATTAATAATTTTCAGACTTCTTCGAAAAAATTTTGCAACCATTTATCATATTCTTATTATAATATTAATTTTTATTATAGCTACTCGTGTAGCGACACGATTTGTATTGCAACATACAATAATATGTAAAGATAAAAAAGGAGTCTCTAACTAAATATAATAAAAGGGATATCTTATTAAATTCTTGAAATCATCTGATATAACTATGATAGGACTTTCTTCTCTCTAGAAATTTTAGCTTGTTCTATTTGATTTTATGATTATTTTATCACATAAATCCCAGCCTTTTAATTAAGCAAAGACTCGTCTTGAGTTCGAGACTCATTGTCAGTCATTATTTGTCATAAATGCACCTTCGACTCGGCGCAATACTATAATTTTGCTTGTCTGTATCATCTGACTAAGCTTGGTCAAGAAGATAGCTATAGTGTTCTACCTTCTCAATATTTTAAAATATTACATAGAGGCGCATGTAACAGAACGCGATCGTTTCTCGTTTAACGGTGTGATACGGACAATACATAAAACATTTCTACGCGGCCAGCGACCGACAGGAAACTCACTTTCGCATTTTTTTTTTCACTTTCATGCTTCTTATTTTGTCACGAGAACTTCAGATTGACGTTGAAGAGAGAATTATAGCAATTATAATATAATAATGGCAATTGAATAATAATAATCATACAATATTGTCTTTAACCTAGTATTAATTTGTAGATTCTATCTACATGACGTTCTTCCTTTTTTTAGGAAGCAATTGGGAGAGCTATCAGGGAATCTCAGAGTATTTTTTTTTTTTAAGGGTACCACGACCTTCTCTAGCCTTGTGCTAATCGGGTAGTGCTAAACGGACGTTACATGATCGTCATGTTCCTTATCGTGCCGACTTAACCCGTTGACACCGTCGTCGCTACCACACATCGACGCAGAAGTGATCGACGATAGCCGGCTGACTGCTTGGTGACCAGACCCTTTCGACTGTTGTAAAGCCGATGCTTTGACGGACCCGCCGCGCCGGCCGGCGATTTGCAAACCGGCGCGTAGAGGAGAACGAAGCTAAGCGTCGTTGCTCTCTACGCGAGGGAATCGCGGAGGCGAGCGACTAGGGGGAGAGGAAGAGAGTTCGTATATGAGGAACGGTGGGGTATGGTGGGTCGCGCCGGGTGCGACGGTCGGGAGTGCGGGTTTGTGAGAGGGCGGCAGAGGGGAGCGGCACTCCGCGGTGACGGCGGCGGCAGCGGTGGCGGCGGCAGCAGCGACGGCGACGGCGACGGCGACGGCGACGGCAGAAAGGGTTGGGAGCGGGGGATAGCTAGGGAGGAGGAACGCGCAGGGGGGCATTTGTTGGCGGCGGGTGTAGGTATACGTTCGGCCCCTACGACGCGAGTGCGTAAGATACTACGGGAGAGAACACCGAGACGGAGAAAGACGTCGCGGCGTTCGCGCGAAGGAGGGAGACAGCGAGGTAGCGGAGAGGATAGAGGGAAAGAGAGAAAGAGAGAGAGAGAGAGAAAGAGAAAGAGGGAGAGGGAAGAAGAAAGAAGAAGAAGAGAGGAGGAGGCCTCCACCTCGGACATATATGCGGTGAGAATTCGCGCCTCCTGTCTCAGTGCTTGACAGGCCGGCAAGCTCTTAAGATCCATCGGGGTTCTACCAGTCCGTCCCCTGAGCCGTCGCTGCCTACACCATCACACACGATCATCCTCCACAATTGTTCTCCACGAGAATCCACCGAATTTTGGCCTTGGAACGAGGGCGAAGCTGGTTGTAGCGCGAGAGACTTGTATCCGCAGTAGTAGCAACGTGGTGGTGCCAGCCAAGAATACCGGAAGTAGACAGGAAGAAAGGACGAAGAATCACGCGGTTCAAGTGAGGGAAGGTAGGACCGGGTTAATCTTGTCCGCGAAGGTCGAGGTAACCAGTTCGGATTTGGCGCCATGACATTCGAAGCACGCTTGATAGGGAACGGGGTTTGTCACTGAACAGAATACGCGCCTTTTGGAAACGATAACAAACTGGCGCTAAAAGCTGAAGGTCACGAGGATGCTACCGGCCGCATGATTGTCCAGGACACTTTGCACTAAGTCCCGCCGAAATACTGAAGTGCCTTGTGATCTCTCTCGCAGTGATTGGTGTGCGTGAGAACGGTTTTGGTGAACCCTATAAAGTGAAGCGGACCACTCGGAAAATACACCGGCGGTTTTCTCTTTCTTTCTCTCTCCCTTCCCCTCTCTCTTTCTCTCTCTCTCTCCCCCTCTCTCTTTTTCTTTCTTTTCATCTTTCTCGACCTAATCGTATTTTCTGCGTAATCGAGGAGACTCGAGTTTTCCACGGAGTTAATAAATTCGTGACGTAGGACGGAAGAAAGCGAAACTGGATCGTGCAGATCGCGATCGTGATCGAGGCCGGTCGCCTAGTTCCGGCGGAGTACCGACTTCAGGGCACGATAAGGGGACCAGGCGGTTACTGGAAGTGGAGAACGTATGGTTGCGTAAGTTCAGGAAGAAGCTACCGCTGCGAGATAAGCGACGAAGAAAGAGACTTTCTTCGCATATGAGACTACACGAAAAAAAGTAGAAGTGAAGAGTTTAGAAGTTTAAGACTATAGTACAGTGAAGAAGAAAAAAAAACTTTTTATAATCGTGAGGGAGACTATCTAACAAAAAGCATAAAATAATAGTCAATCGGAAAGGAAAGACATTAGTGCAGGGATTGGCAACGAAGAACGGTTTCATTATATCATAAGGAAAATTAAAAGAAATTCTAAGGTCTTGTCTCGGGGAAAAGACAAGGACTTGGCGGGAACGACGATGCCATTGATCATCTGATCGTTCCTTTCACGACGAAGGCCGATCGTAGAGCATGATCCGACCAAGGGCGACCTTGAACAAGATGGTCACGAGGGCGCTGCTACTACTCTCGCTGGTCTTCCTCGGTGCCTTTGACGCGCCTGGCATCGAGAGAACCCACTTGGCGATGGCTAGTAACTGCAATGCCTGTAGGATACACGAGGAGATCCGCGCGCTCAGTTTGGAGGCGATCAAGGAGCAGATCCTGAACAAGCTCGGCCTCAAACAAGCGCCGAATATGACGGGTCGGGCAATGCCGAGGATCCCGCCGATCTCGAAGCTGATGGACATGTACGGGATGCAGGCCGACCAGCCTCTTGAGCCTGGTATCACGCACCACGAGGAGATCGACGAATATGCCGCCAAGACGGAGAGTGTCTTTGCTTTAGCGCAGCCTCGTAAGTTTCTTCTTCCGTTTCCTTCCTTTTGTATACGGGGTGTTCCATGGTGTTGAGAAGGAGAAATTGGAGCAGAATTTACATTACTATATATCACTTTATTTTGTCTTGTAACATTTTTCCATGTTTATTATCATTTCCAAAATATACCTTGTCTCATTTCTAAGGAACGCCCTGTATTATTAAATTTAATAGTTGTAGAGATGTTGGGCATATTTTTGTAATTTTCCAGAAATTAAATTTCTAAATTATCTCTACGAGAAAAATATTGATACGGATTTGATTCTCCATATTTGACTCTTTTATCGAGTTCAGTAAAAGTTTGAAAAATTGAATTTTTTAGAAACAACTTACAATTTTAAACACTTTGCGTCTTATTATAGAAATTCTGGATATTTTCGTCGACCTATTAATCTTAAAGAATAAAAAAATATTAAATTAATTATATATACAGTTTGAGCTTCTACTACATATAACTCCAAAAAGAAAACTCTTAAATCAAAAGTCGGAACATTTTGTGAAATCCGTGAGAAGTACCACTCCGCACGGTATTCAATTAATGTATGCTTTCGCAACGCAGAGCGTATGGTATTGAAAATCTTTCGCAATAAAATATCAAACGCAGCGCGATTCTTTTTTTCTTTACAAGATGTTTAGTCTGATGCACGATTGCAAAAACTCGTCGTGCATATCTTAGCAAAAGGTAGCGTTATCCCAAAGATTATGCCAGCCAGGCGCCACGGTTCGCTCAGAATTAATTACCGCGAGTGGTAATATTTCATACATGACACCGATCATGTTTTCCTTGGTAACGTCAAGTAAATTAACCTCAGCGACTCGGCGATCCGTCCGACGTGACTCGCGCATATACACGCTCTCGCATGCAACATTGTACATATACTGAATTGCATCGTATCATCGCCGCTGATGAGCATCTTGTAACTTAATAGTGTCGAAGTAACAATTATATAACTGGCTCTCACATCCGACATCCGTTGCTGTTAATTCTACGATTTACCCGACAAGTACCGTATAACTCGTCTGCTGTACAGACATATCCCTGTATTTAGTCTTTTAAATTTAAAAAAATATATAATACGTATATCGAAAAATCGTATCGCATGACGAAAGAGCGAAATTCCGGATTTTTCGGAAGTTCATCCTAGCCTCTGCTGGGCAATTACTTATTGCAGGAATAGAATCGGGGGAGATGTTCACAAATAACACACGACGATAAATACTTCAATAATTAATCCTAGCATTGTGTTTGCAAAAGTTGCAAAAATATGTGCCTGCAATTACCATCACCGGAATGGGCAGAATAAGTGATAATCCGATGATGCAAGGCACGCAATGCTAATACGATAATTGGTGGATTATCGATTTATTATCGATTGCTACCAAGGTGCAATAAAAAATTAAAAATAACGTAATGACAATCGAAGAGCAAGGAGGAGGTCAAGGATACCGCGCGTTTTCGGGGACACCCTGTATGCGCTCCGTGCATAATATACACTTGTTAAGGAGCAGAAGGAGCTCCAAACGGTCCGCCGCCGCACGAGTCCCTCGGGCGAAACTGTCTTCGAGCCACTTGCCGCTAAGCACGTAATAGTGGCGGTAGAACCGCAACCTGTTATTAAGGCCCCCGTGTTCGCGAAAAAAAAGAGAGAGAGGGAGAGAGGAGAGAGAAAAAGAGAGAGAGAGGGAGGGAGGGAGGGAGAGAGAGAAACGAAGTAAGAAAAAAGAGAAAGGGGAAGAAACAAAATAAGATCAACGACCTGCTTAGGAACTCGGATCGGCGAGGGAGACCGATCGTGGTCTCGCTAACCGCGAGACTGGCGTGCTTTCTTTCTGGGCGAATCTGAATTTTTTATAAAACGTAATATGCCCCGAGCACGATGGCGAGTTCACCGGCGAGGCGCAGCGCCGCACCGGCCGCATTGTGGACGATTATCGCGTATCGCACGATTACAGACACTTTGGCATTCCGATAAAGCGTTGACTTATTATTATCTATATCGCGTCAATTATAGCTTTATTTTCCAGCGTTGCAATACGTGAGAGAGGCGAGAGATCAAAATTCCTGCAGCGAACTCGCATTATATTGTACATCGTCGCCGCATCAAATTACTGATTACGAATGTCTAAGGCTTGTTCGCTCGTGATGATGAAGTATTACTCGTTCATTTTTTGCGTAAAAGATGAGCCACAAAGAAGTGGTATAAGTTCTTTTTCCATTAAATATATTGTTATTTTTTCCTCTTTTTTTTTTACTATCGCATGGATAATTATATTATAAAGCGTGAAAATATTTATATGTAGTATTTTACACTTAAAGTAGAGAAAAAAGTTTATAAAGATCGTAAAAAAATTGTTTTAAATATGTTTTATGATTGGAATATAGAATACTTTGCAAAGTATTTATCAAAGAAAATTTTTCTAAAAGAAGTAAGTAAAAAAAGAAAGGGCATTGCAAGATTATTGATTTAAATTGTCCGTCTTAAAAAATTTGGCCGCTGTATGTACTATTCATAGATCGTATTCATTTGTAACTAGCTTCTACGCGCTAAACGTTCCAAGCCCTTTACAAGCATCTTCCATTGTACACGTTAAAGTGCGGCAACGTCGTACAATTTGCTTCCTAAACTGATCTTGCCGCGGTCTTGCAGCAGTCGAAAATAAGTGTGCATATATTTAGCATTGCGCAGATAACGAACGGCGAAGCGTGAACAAGAGTTCAAAAGTTTACGCCCACTGCCCAGCAATATCGGTGAGATTAATAGCCGGAACGATTTAATGAAAAAAAAGGAAAAAAATATGTATGCGCGCATAAGATGATATGCGATGCTCTTAACGTACAGTGCGTAGGTACCGTGCGTAAAATGTACAACCTGCACTCGAAACCGCCGGGTCTCGGTATCGTAAGTCTCGGTAAGTCGCTGTCGCTGTCGTCACAAGTAACTTGGAATAGAATTTGGAATAGAAACTAGTATCGAAAGTAAGCCAAAAAAAAAAGAATGATTGACTGGTATCGCATTCGCGACGAGTTATCGGGAATGACCTCTTGTCTCTCCGTCCGATCGTCTCGGTCCCCGCTACGGGGAACAATTTTTGAAAATCCGTACGTGCGAATTTTCTTGCATGTGCAGTATTTTTGCTCTTTTATATTTGTCTCCGTTTTGTGAAAAGTTTGCGAAAGTTTTCGTCTGGTTTTAGAACGATAAAATTGATACTTGTGAAATTCTTTTAAATCTATTTTTATAACTTTTTTTATGTATATCTCCTTTTTAATTTGTTTTATTTCTTCTTTCTTCTTTTATTTAGATCTACTTTTATCTCTTCTCTGTATACATATATCGCTTATCGCTTTCATTATCGAAATAGATTACAGTTTTATTATATCCTTTTTTAATGTATGAACGTCGAATAACATGTTTGATTGATATTAATTATATGCATATATTAAATAAATGTGACAGTAATTTGTAAAAAAGTTAAGATGCATTTTATTTTATTTATATAGTATATTTTCGATTTTTTGGTTATATTTCCACCTGTTGGTTTTACACACACAATGCGCTTATTATTGATTATTATTTATATTGATTATATCGATTATTAATTATTGATTATATCGATTATTATTTATGCATTACATCCGCGCTTATTATTGATTATACTCAATTTTTTTTCACTTAATCTTTTCTCTTTACTATTTTCAACTATTTCTTATCTACGACAAATTTTCAGTTTTGTCATATTTTCTTATCATCATGCGTTTTTCTCTTACGTATCCGAAAACGGATAAATTTCTTTTTATATTATCATTTTCTATCGTCCTCTTCAATTCTTCTTTTATTTCTGGATTTTTCTCAATCGTTCTAAAGCGTTCTTTTTTTTCATCTCTTCTATCAAAATTTTTCTTTGATTTTCATGTATTATTTATAATTCTGAATCTTAATATATGTCCTGCAGCAAAATGAACGACGGTTTCTTACTCGATGTCCTCGAAAGATCGGCCGATCTCTCGATTGCCTCTTGTTGCATGATCAACTTATAAGTAGACGGGACATAATATATGTATATACATATGTATGTTATAAATGTAGCACATGAAGCTACATGATAAGTCATTGCTCACCGATGACCAACGCGAACCAGCGCTTTAAGGCAGTTTAAGAAGTTAGTTCGCGATATTAAAGAAACTTCTTCGAAGATCTTTTCTGAGGGATTTAATTGTTACTAATTGTAGAGACAATTATTTTCAACTTACAACTTTAATTGTGTTTTGCAATTTCGAAGCTTCAAGAAATTTTCATTTAATGTTTAATTATCATAACGATGTAATCAATTTTATATCGGTTACTACATATACATACGTATAAAACGTCGTGAAATACGCGTTTAATAAAAAAAACTTACTGAAAAAGAAACCTTAATTAACGTGCAAATTTTTTAGAATCTGTTACACGTTTAATAATTTTCGACATTAAAACTCCATACGACAGATCACACATCAAAAAATTTATTATATAGGTATGATAAAGACACGCTGCGTCCCTTTGTAGTCACCGCCGCGCGACTACGATGACGCTGACCAAAATTATTCCTGCAGGAAATATAGCGCGCATGTTGGACCGATAGTCACTGCAGACGCGGTTGATTAACTGCCTTTTAAGTATTTTTCTCGCGTGTATCGCCGGCGCATATTCAGACAATACGATAGGAGACCAATTAAATGCATAAAAATGTTCAATGACAAATACGTCGTTCTGTGTAAATAAAGTTGATAGACTTTAATGTCGTAATTAATAGCAACGGATTTTTTCCGGAAATCATTTTTATAGAAAAAGGGTTTATCACATACGAATCACATTACGAATTGAGATGATATTACATTCCACATATCTCAGAGAGAAAATAGAAGGGGTAAGAAATATTTCAGATCACGTTAGATGTGTTAGTTGTCGCGTTTAACCGTAAAGATCGCAAATGAGACT